GAGTTAAAGTATATGATGTAAATCATAGGAAGAAAAGGGCACCCCTAGAGATAGGTACCTGGGAAGATGATGAGTGGCCTCCCCAGCGTATTATAGATTATTATGGGCCAGCTACGTGGGCAGAGGATGGTACTTATGGATACAGAACCCCAATATATATGCTTAATCGTATTATAAGATTGCAAGCAGTAGTTGAGATAGTTACCAATGAAACATCACAAGCGCTCAATCTCCTAGCGAAGCATAACACTAGGATGAGGACAGCCATCTACCAGAATAGATTAGCTTTGGATTACCTATTGGCAGTAGAGGGAGGTGTATGTGGGAAGTTTAATCTAAGCAATTGTTGTCTTCAAATAGATGATGAAGGGCAAGCAATAGCTGAGCTTACTAGCCATATGGTTAAGCTAGCACATGTACCTACTCAGGTATGGAAAGGGTATAATCCGAGTAGTTGGTTTGGTAGTTGGTATGAGCAGTTTGGAGGAATCAAGGCATTGGTAGGTGGAGTCATACTGATTTTGATGTTGTGTCTCCTTCTGCCATGTCTGATTCCTTTGGTAATTAGGTCTATGCAGAGCATTATAGAAAGTATAGCAGAAAGAAAGGCTGCAGCACAGGTAATGGCTGTTTGCAGGTATGAAGCTCTAGATCAAGGAGAATACATGCAGGAAGAGGAATGTTGAGGGGTTCGTATCTTTAGAGGATCGCAAAGTCTAGTCTGGTTTATGGCAACTTGAGGTGTAAGCAAACTATGATTGGTGATGCATCTGGAATTATTTTAAATCAGAAGCATCAAAGGGGGGAATGTGATGGAATTCCAGTAAAATAAAAGTTTAGCAGGCCAAGATTGCCACAAGGCATATGTAGGTACATGTGTTTGTAGTATCAGTTAGTTAGTTACACGTAGCTAAGATACTGTCATCACTGTACTGAGCATGTACAGGAATGCAGGAACTGGAATTACGCATCCCTCTCCTTTGTTTCAGATGAGCCACGTGGTTAGACCGGATGGATGAGTTTAGACTCAATTCATTGATTAGGTTAAGGGTATGTGTGGGCGTAGCTAATTATGGGAGGAGCTACAGTGCTATATAAGGAATCTACTCTATGTATTCAGTGCTCAGATCTTTGCTGTTTTTGGTGACATAAGTCCCTCTGTGCCCCGGTCGGTGAATCGAATAAAGATCTCTTCCTTCCTGAAGAAACCTGTGTCCATCTCTCTGTGCTTGGCCTCCGTCAGTTTCCCGGTAACAATGTGAAAATCTCAAATATATACAATCTAATGTGTTAAACTTACCCAATCACCAAGTGCACCCTGTTTGTCCGGTCTGCTCTGTGAATAGAGCCGCAAATCAAGGACTGTCAAACATACTGCCGAAAAGTGACATAAAGCACAGCTACCAAGTGTTGCCTAGAAACGGCAAAGTTGTTTTAAAAGAGAAAAAATCGGAGTGGAAAGGCACGGTAGTAGAACTGGAGACCATGATTGATGAATTGAACAATCTGGATTCCACTATCAAACTAAGTCTGACTTATAGTACAGACAAAATCCAGTTTTTGGATGTTGAGATATACCGGAATGGCCCGAACATTGGATATCGGTTATACTGAAAGCCATCGGGTCGCAATACACTTTTGCATGCGAACAGTTCTCATCCTAAGGCCTTGAAAGATTCATTACCCATCTCTCAATATCTCAGGGTATTTAGAAATAACTCGGATGACAACACCTGCAGGATTCAACTAGAAGATATGACCAGATCTTTTTTGGAACGGGGATACAAACACAACGTGTTACAGAGTTGCCGGCTAAAGGCTGAAAATATTTTTAAAGGAACATCAACTAAACAGTTACAAAGTATCCCAAAGATCACGATTTATTATTTCATTCAGAAAGCCAGAGGTTTTCTCAAAGGATCAAAAAAAGATGGGACATCCTTTCTGCAGATAGGACACTTAATCAGGTTTTTTCACAAAAACCACGAATTGCATTTTCACGCAATAGAAATTTGAAGGACATCTTGGTAAAAACTGACACTCCTAGTTGTTATAATTTCCAGACACACAATGTAAAGAAAGGTTGCTTCAAGTGCTCAGGTTGTGTCACCTGTGGGCACATGCTGACAGGATCCTCTTTCGCACACCTACATACAGGTAAAAGAATCCAGATAAAACATCGTCTAACCTGTATGAGTGATCATGTGGTGTATCTCATTTCATGCCCTTGTGGCAAATATTATGTAGGAAAGACGGATCTAACAGTGAGAGATCGTATCCGAGGCCACAGATCAGGAATCATGACAGCATATCGGGATGGAAAAACCGACAAGCCTGTGGCGAAGCATTTCCTTGAACTTCAACATCACTTACCCACCTTGAAATTTATTGTGATAGATCATATTCCACCGCTGATCAGAGGGGGCGATAGATCGAAGCTATTATTACAGAGAGAGACTTTCTGGATTAAACATTTGGACACAGTTCAACCGAAAGGACTTAATGAATATAATTCCTTTGGCTGTTTTTTGAACATTTGCTGATAACGTATACTGTGGGACTCATAGTTTCTAAATGAATTAGATTCACTCACGGGATGTTAGCTTGCATGATGGTCGTGTATAATTTGGATAAAATCTTTATTTGTGTCTATAGATTGTGATTCCATATTCGTTTATATTGAGGCGGTGGTTTGTGATTTCGGCAGCAGTCTGGTTCATTTTACATCATCTTCACTTTGGTTTAACACTGCATGTTAACATGATACTTGTGTTGTCACAATCACCTTTTTTTGTTCTGCTTATTAGATCATTTAGGTCATTCTGGACCTAACATCATTTACTATAACGTGCTTATTTATTTATTACATCCTTTTTTCACCTGCATACATTATAATTTTTCGTTATATTTTTATTTTTCATATTTCATATGTATTATAGCTACAGTTTTTAGCTTTCACAACACACTATACCTGTCTTAGACCAGTACATTTTTCTACCTCACAACACATAGTCTTTCCACTATGAGTCTTCATGATCCAGCATATTTACACATATTAGTTTGTTGAGTAACATTTGGTTTTCGTTACACTGGTTACACATTGTATAATATTTTCGTATGGGGGTTGCATCACTATCATTTTCCTCATTCCGTTCACATAGCATTTTGTAGACCATCTTTACCTCAGCTTACTACTCTCTTGTCAGTTCACCACACATTTCATTTGTCCGTTTCACATACATCTCCAGCAGCACGCATTTTTTATTTTTGTTACATATTTAGTCTATTCAGACCACATAGACTTTTTTGATACAGTTCTTCTTTTTTCCATTTCATACACTATCGTACATCTCACACATTTGACTTCTTTGCAATTCTCCACACATTCACTGAGCTTTTTTTCATTTTATTTATTTTTTTCTCTTTATTCAGCACGCATGCACACATTAACCTATTCTGGTTAACCTTTGGCTAACCCGTTTTCATTCATACTGCTGTCTTTAACATTCCACACTCATATACATTTAAGATCATGTAATCAGACTCTATTTCTTTCTCCTCCATACATGCTTTTAATTTTACTCCGATTTTTTCTCTTTTAAAACAACTTTGCCGTTTCTAGGCAACACTTGGTGGCTGTGCTTTATGTCACTTTTCGGCAGTATGCTTGACAGTCCTCGGTTTGCGGCTCTATTCACAGAGCAGACCGGACAAACAGGGTGCACTTGGTGATTGGGTAAGTTTAACACATTAGATTGTATATATTTGAGATTTTCACATGTTATAGCATCTTGATAAAGACCGCTAGACGGTCGAAACATTGATTTATATGCGTTTGATTTAATATATTTTTTTGTTTACTAAATCCAATGAGTGCTCTCAATTTGTTCCATTTGTATATTTTGCACGGAGAGGCACCTGGTCATTGCTGAATTAATGCTTTTGTTATGGGATGAGTGCCAGAAACTATTGTGATTTTTATATATATATATATACACATACACATACCAAAAGACTTGTGGTAGGGAAAAAAAGTGTGGATGAAAACCCCTTCCACCTGAAGTAAGTGGATAGTGAATACATTGCTTAACACAAATACACACACCACTCAAGCCAAAATTGTGAAACACAATTTTGGAAGAGGAGCAAAACCAGTGAACCATTCATGGACAGCTGTTTCATTGTTAATGCAGCTCATCAGCATATATATATATATATATGTTCCAGCATTAAAGCAGAATCCAGTACTTCCATATTTACAGAGGATAACAGTAATTGAACCAAAAATGTATTTCAAAAAAATTTGGAAAACAACCGTGGGTCCCTGGGACTATTAATCATAGAATGCTCAACAAAATTAACCTGGCTTTTTGGGTAGTTTGTGCGGACGTGACTTATATGTTACAGGTGATCAAGAATTTGTATTTTTAAGCCATTTTTTTATGCAAAGTTTGCAATATATATATATATATTATAATCTCCTTGCTGGCTCTTAGAAATTGAGTCCCTGGAGCAGCTGCACCCTCTTGCAATTCTGGCACTCTGTGAGAGAGTCAAAGCACAGATTTCCAGAACTGTGAGAATATGCGGCAGCCCACTGGAGCATCGGTGAATCCACCAGCAGCCCACTGGACCACCAATGACCCACTGGATCACCATGGAATGAATTATTCCCCCCCACCCCCGCCTGCACAGAAGGTAAGCAAGAGTGGGCAAATAAATATATAAAAATAAATAATATGTATGTTTTATAATTACCCCCCTACTTTTGTCTCCCATGTGCCCCATAAATATGATTGCTGGAGACTCCACTGCTCAGCAACACTGCCTTTAACTATGACTTGGGCATGAAACATTCGTTCCTCGAGTTTTATGTTACAACAACTATGCACTTTGAATATTTTTGAACATTTTTATTTATAAAAGTAAAAATAGTGAGCAGTGCTCAGTTGCAGCTGACATTGCATTGAAGATGGTGTATTATCAAATATTGTTATCTTTTATTGTTTCTCTGCATGTTTCTGTCTATCCAATTCTACTTCTTTATGAATCTGAGCTATTGTTTTTGGACCCAGATTTTCACGGCGAGGCACCCAGTTGTTAATCCTCAAATCCACTACATCTTGCATCATGAATCTAATTCGGGGAGATGTTTTCCTGCTTTTGATGAGTTTATCAATACTGCTAAAATGGTCATCCATACGAGGCAGTCCATGTTCCATGTGTTTTCCAACTGATGTTAGCAAACGACAGAAGCTCTCCATTGATTCCTCACTTTGCCTATTCAGAAGTTTGGTAAGGCAATCATGTATGATGTTTTTTGAGAGCATTTTCAGTTTAAATAGTTCCCCTATCAATGTGATGTTCCCTAGAGCGCGCTTGCGTGCTTTATTACGAGCGTTGGTCAATTCCTCCTTTACTTGAGCCTTTTCTGTAGGTGATGTAGCCGTTTCCAGTGTCGTCTGAAGTTTTTGAATTCGCTCGTCACCATCTTCACCTTTTTCAAACTCCTCCTGGCAAAGATTTAGCAGCAGCCTGCGGAAGTTAATGCAGATTTTAGGATTTCTTTCTGTTGGAACTTCCAGCCTCATTAGACAGTGGCACATGTTGGCATATATAGATGAATAATTTGGTTCAGATATTGATTTTTCAAATAGTAGTTCAATGACACCTTTGAGCTGATATTCTGTGTGTACAGAGAGGTCTGCCACTTGGCTGGTTAGTTGTTGAAATGTCTCAGGAGTCACCTTATTCAGGATACCACGCACTTTGCAGAACAATTCCTGAGCTTGGACACTAGTGGCATTTTCATTCGTTCTTCTCATAGCCGGTTTCCAAGCATTTTCAGCTTTACGTAGGTGAATGTTCTGATTTAATGCTATTATTTTGCAAGGTTCTTGCTGGGACCTTCTTGGACCCAGTCCATCCAGAAATCTAGGTTTAGCCCTAGCAGGGCGGCATAATCTTGCAGTTGGGTGTGAAACATTGCAACTAGCCTGTTGTGACGAATCCACTGGTTGCAGTTGGGTTTTCTTAGTCATATGTAGTTGTATGTCAGGTATATCTGGAAGGCTAGGTGGCTTCTGTTTTATAATCCGAAAACTGAGCAGAAAGTTACGGCTGTAGCATATCCTTGCTATTTGTCCTATTTTGATATTTGGGTTTGTTTGAGGTACAGCCTCAGCAGTTTGCGCTTGGCTCTCTGTGGTCTGCTCTGGGTATACATTAGTTTTAGCAGGTGGTTCACCTTCTTTTTCCTGAGCAGGCTTAATAACTGGCACAGATTGCTCTTCAGGTTTAATGACAGAGCTCACATGTACTTCAGGCTGGATAACTTTATTTTCAGTATACCTCTGCCCAGTGGGTCCCTTTTTATTTGTTATAAGCACTTCACCTGCTAAAAAATTGGTGGAATCAAAATAAGGTTCAGTGTGATAAACCAGACTGGTAGAATTTACTGGCAATTCCTGGGACAATTCCTTAGTCAAAGACTGGGTAGGATGAAGTGGGCACTCTAGAGGAATATCCTCTTCTAGTCCTGTGATTGACTGCTTAGATGCTAGATTTGTAGCCTCATGAGAAACTAAAGTAAACTGGAATGGATCAGGGTTTACTGGTAGCTCCTCTGCTAATCCACTTGTGTCAGGTTCAGTATTAGAAACAGGGCCCTCTGGAAGAATTTCTTGTTCTGCACCTGTGACGGACTGCTCATGATCTAAATCAATTGACTCAGATTGGCAAAGCAGAGTGGACTGTGACTGAACAGGGTTTACTGGCAGCTCCTCTGATAGTTCACTAGTAAGAGGTTCAGTAGATAAAACTGGGCACACAAAAGAAATATATTCTTCTAGAACTGTGATCTCGGGATGGCTATCTACATAAGCATTTTTTTCATTTTTCATTCCATTTTGCTCCACTGCCTTTACAATGGTTTCAAAGCATGTTGCAGTCTCTTGAGTTATTTTGTCCACTTTTGGAATATCATTGAGTAATGTGTCATCTTTGGGAGTAGCAGAATAATAGGCTTCTAGATCTTCTTGTACAACCCCACAGCTTTGCTCAGGATACAATTTCCCCCCTCGGAGTGTGCTTTGGGGTTTTTCTTCATTTTGATGTATCCTAATTAAGAAAGAATATGTGATTAGTGAAGTCACATAATTAATTCGCCTGTCGTAATTTTTCTGAAATAAGTAGGTGTGGCGAAAAGAAAAAGCCATCATTACTAAAAGATGTTGGGGTAGACATCTAGATAACTTAAAAATTAAAATTGGAAAGTTAAAATACTGTGCCAGTTTAATGGCCATAAAAATCTAGAGTGGCAAAAATGACCTTATATCGTAATAGGTTGAGAGGCAGCATGAGTGTCTCTCTCCTAGTGCATCATCATCAGGCAACCATTCTTTCCTAAATTATTTTATTGTGCTCCAGTCAATTTAGAAAAAAATAGGTGGATGTGGAAAATGCAGTGGTAGCCCCTAGACACCTAGCACATAAGTTGTGGGCACATAAGACCCCTATACTTGCTAAACACTTCTAACTTACTGCAAGATATGCACTTCAACTGTGGAGGGGAGGGGGGCTAAAGAGTGGAGGGGTGATAGGCTAAAGAGTGCACAGAAGGTGATGGAAGCTAAATAAAAGCATGGGGAAGGGAAGGAGACTAAAGAGTGCACAGAAGGAGAGCGAGTGCACAGAAAGAGTGCACAGAAGGAGAGAGAGTGCACAGAAGGAGAGAGGGAGGGGGGCTAAAGAGTGCACAGAAGGTCAGGGAGGCTAAAAAAAATGGGAGGTGGCAAAAGGAGGGCACAGGAGGGGTGGGAGGCCTTAACTAGGGGTTGTTGCAGCCTCTTGAGTTGTTTTAGCCTCTTTCGGAGCAATATTGGATATTTTGTTATCTTTGGGAGAACCAGAATATAAGGTTGTAGATCTAGTTATAAATACCTATGGCTTTGTCCAGGATAAAACTTTCTCCCTAGAGGTGTTTTTTGGGGATTTTCATAATTTGGATGTTTCCTATTTAAGAACGAATATGTGATTAGTGTAGTGAAGTCACATAATTCACTCGCCTGATGTTATTTTTCTGGAAAAAATGGGTGTTGGGGATAGGAAGATACATCATTGCTAAAGAATTTAGGGTAAACATCTAGATAAGACAAATATTTAAATTTGTAAATTAAAATACAGTGCCATTTTAATGGCCATAAAAACCTAGAGTGTCAAACAGGATCTTATATTGTAATAGATTGAGAGGCGGCATGGGTGTCTCTCCCATTGCCATCAGGCAACCATTCTTTCCTAAATGCTTTTAGAGAGCTCCAGTAAATTTAGAAAACAATGGGTGGATACGTAGAATGCAGTGGTAGTCCCTCTCTGCATAGCACATAAGTTGTGGGCAGATTAGTCCCCTATACTAGCTAAACACTTGTAACTTCAAGTGTGGCATCAACTTGTGAGAAATATTCCTTGCCAGTCGGACATCTCAAGGGCAGCCCCTATCCAAACTTTACACGATAGTATTCCTGATTTACATTTATGGATAGGGACTGTAAATGGCAATACTTCTGAGGTTGTTATTTTAGGGACAAGCCTTACATTGCTTTACAGATTTAATGGCTAATTATGACCGGACTAAACAGGAGTTTTATACATTTCTGCAAATCACACATTTATTTACAAATCCACTATTAAAGTACAAGTTGACATTAACCACAATGACGTCTGCAGAACTGATAGTTGCTCATCCTCAGATACCGGTGTAATGGAAATTATTCAACCCTTATTGAAAATCAGGTTGTTGTCAAAATGTGCAGACTTTCGGCTGTTTGCAATGAACAGATTCTGCAGCAAGACTTGGTGGCAACAGGCACTGAGGTTTCAGTAAGCCCAGTAAAGCGAGTACCAAATGCAGGTTTCCATGCCAGAACTCAAAGACATACCACTACTGACCCAAAAGCACAAGAAAAGTCATCTCCAATATACTCAAAATCATATAGATAAGCTTTTGGGATTCAGTTCTGTGGAGCGATGAAACAAAACTGGAACTTTTCAGCCCAATGGATCAGCAGTATGTCTGGAGGAAGAAAAATGAAGCTTATGCTGAAAAGAACACTTTGCCTACAGTAAAACATGTGGCTCCAGTAAGCATTTTTCCCTTTTAGTTTAATTTTCCTCCACAGTCTTAACTAGGTCTGTTGCAGGCTCTTGAGTTGTTTTGGCCTCTGTTGGAGTAACATTGAGTATTTTGTCATCTTTGGAAGTATCAGAATAATGAGGTTGTAGATCGATTTGTACATACCCATCACTCTGTCCGGGATACCACTTTCCACCTAGAGGTGGTCTTTGGGGGTTTTCATCATTTTGATGATTCCTAATTAAGAAAGAAAATGTGATTAGTGAAGTAATAATTCACTCACCTGATGTTATTTTTCTGGAATAAGTGGGTGTTGGGGATAGGAAAAGCCATAAATGCTAAAGATGTTAGGGTAAACATCTAGACAAAAATGTAAATTTGTAAATTAAAATAGTGTGCCAGTTTAATGGCCATAAAAACCTAGAGTGGCAAAAAGGATCTTATATTGTAATAGATTGAAAGGCGGCATGGGTGTCTCTTCCCTAGTACATTGCCATCAGGTAACCATTCTTTCCTAAATGCTTTTATTGTGCTCCAGTCAAATTAGAAAACAATGGGTAGATATGAAGGATGCAGCGTTAGCCCCTGGACACTTAGCACATAAGTTGTGGGCACATAAGACCCCTATACTAGCTGAACACTTCTAACTGACTGCCAGATATGCACTTCAACTGTGGAGGGGAGGGGGGCTAAAGAGTGGAGTGGAGATAGGCTAAAGAGTGCACAGAAGGTTGCGGAGCATAAATAAAAGCATGGGGGGAAGGAAGGGGGCTAAAGAGTGCACAGAAGGTGAGGGAGGCTAAATAAAAGCACAGGAGGGAGGGGGGCGAAAGAGTGCACAGAAGGTCAGGGAGGCTAAATAAATGGGATGGGGCAAAAGGAGGGCACAGGAGGGGTGGGAGGACTTAACTTGGGCTGTTGCAGCCCCTTAAGTTGTTTTAGCCCCTTTCGTAGTAATATTGGATATTTTGTCATCTTTGAAAGAAGCAGAATATAAGGTTGTAGATATAATTGTACATACCTGTAACTTTGTCCAGGATAACCCTTTCTCCCTAGAGGTGTTTTTTGGGGGTTTTCATCATTTGGATGTTTCCTATTTAAGAACGAATATGTGATTAGTGTAGTGAAGTCACATAATTCACTCGCCTGATAATATTTTTCTGGAAAAAATGGGTGTTGGGGATAGGAAGAGCCATCATTGCTAAAGAACCAGTCCCAGTTAGAAGGTGGAGCGCTCAAATCAAAATAACTCAACCCCTCTTGGAACTCTTGGTAACCTAAGGGGGGGCGGGGGCTAAAAAGTAATAGTGTGGTATGTTTCAAAGCAATTGGAGTGAGATAATTCTATAAGGATTCACTCACATGGTTCTGTGATTTTGAACTTTGCCATTTTTTATAGTCTTTATCATCTTTTAAAACTCCCTATTTTATGAAATTTTATGGAATCAGCTTCTTATTTGGACATATTCTATGTTTTTAACTGAAATATGGTTATTTGCATGATATACATTTTATATTTACTGTATAGATACAAGCACCTTTTATATTACTGTATGGGCTGGATGTTATTTGCACAATGAGAGATACTATACAATATACAATTGGGAAGACACTGTAAGATTGTATTTGTATTCAAAAGATATTATCAAGATTTAACTTCCTTTTTCTCTATTTGCCCTCATCTACCTGCTCTTTATTCTCATGGGAGCCCATGTTTGTGCATACAGACTCAAATGCCATCTAGTAAAATGGCGTCTGTGGCCTCGCCTGGACACAAGGGCAAAGATAGCACTACGTCACTTCCGAGTGACGAAACTGGAACCTTTGAGCGCAGCAACAATGGATAACAGCCACGATTGATGGGGAGGGAGGACGCTACCAATTAACCGAGGACCTAATATACCATTTAAAAGAAGACCAGGTACACGGATACATGCACCAATTGAGAAAGCCGACAAGGCGAAACGCCTCTCGGGACCACCCACAGGACTGAGGCTTTATATCGATTACCACTGTTTGTTTTTTATATTGTAAGTTTTTATATAATACATTTTATTTTTACCATATTTCCTCCTGTGAAGTCCAGTATTCAGAGTTCCTGCTATACTCAAAGAAGGGTTTGTGTCTCCTTATTGGCACATACACTTTTTAACTTAGAGCCAGGTCACAGGCTCTAATTAACGTGAGCAGTTCCATTGATTTATTCATACATATCAGTATTCCTAAACCCACTACACCAGATATTGGTCTTTGTCATTTCCAGAAAGAAAATACAGGAATCATCATTTAAAGGATCCATGTTGCCTTAATACACGCCTGCTCGAGTGATCTGAGCCTGTCCTGTTAAAGCTCTGAATCACGTGAATGAATCCTTATAGAATTATCTCACTCCAATTGATCTGAAACATACCACACTATTACTTTTTATCCCCCCCTTGGTTACCAAGAGTTCCAAGGGGGGTGAGTTATTTTGATTTTGAGCGCTCCACCTTCTAACTGGGACTGGTTCTCCATACCACGCAGTTAACCAATTCAATTTACTTTGTTTGTGCTAAGCAGTGAGAGGATTGCACATTGGTGGTAGCAGCACTAATATTTACACGTTCTAATAACCATTGTAAGCGCCTGTATACACAATACCCATATTGTTACTATCATTGCTAAAGAAGTTAGGGTAAACATCTAGACAAGACAAAATTAAAATTTGTAAATTAAAATACTGTGCCAGTTTAATGGCCATAAAAACCTAAAGTGGCAAAAAGGATCTTATATTGTAATAGATTGAGAGGCGGCATGGGTGTCTCTCCCATTGCCATCAGGCAACTATTCTTTCCTAAATGCTTTTAGAGTGCTCCAGTAAATTTAGAAAACAATGGGTGGATATGGAGGATGCAGTGGTAGCCCCTTTATGCATAGCACATAAGTTGTGGTCAGATAAGCCCCTATACTAGCTAAATACTTGTAACTTCAAGTGTGGCATCAACTTGTGAGAAATATTCCTTGCCTGTCGGACATCTCAAGGGCAGCCCCTATCCAAACTTTACACGATAGTATTCCTGATTTACATTTATGGATAGGGAATGTAAATGGCATTACTTCTGATGTTGTTATTTCAGGGACAAGCCTTACATTGCTTTACAGATTTAAGGGCTAATTATGACCGGACTAAACAGAAGTTTTATACATTCCTGCAAATCACATATTTATTTACAAATCCACTATTAAAGTACAAGTTGACATTAACCACAATAACATCTGTAGAACTGATAGTTGCTCATCTTTAGATACAGTTGTAATGGAAATTATTCAACCCTTATTGAAAATCAGGTTATTGCCAAAATGGACAGACTTTCAGCTGTTTGCAATGAACAGATTCTACAGCAAGACTTGGTGGCAACAGGCACTGAGGTTTCAGTAAGCCCAGTAAGGCGAGTACTAAATGCAGGTTTCCATGTCAAAACTCCAAGACATACACCACTACTGACCCAAAAGCACAACAAAAGTCATCTCCAATATACTCAAAATCATACAGATAAGCTTTGGGGTTCAGTTCTATTGAGCGACGAAACAAAACTGGAACTTTTCAGCCCAATGGATCAGCAGTATGTCTGGAGGAAGAAAAAATAAGCTTCTGCTGAAAAGAACACTCTGCCTTCATTAAATCATGTGGCTCCAGTAAGCATTTTTCCCTTTTTAGTTTAATTTTCCTCCACAGTCTTAACTAGGGCTGTTGCAGGCTCTTGAGTTGTTTCGGCCTCTGTTGGAGTAACATTGAGTATTTTGTCATCTTTGGAAGTATCAGAATAATGAGGCTGTAGATCTATTTGTACATACCCATCACTCTGTCCAGGATACCACTTTCCACCTAGAGGTGGTCTTTGGGGGTTTTCATCATTTTGATGATTCCTAATTAAGAAAGAAAATGTGATTAGTGAAGTAATAATTCACTCACCTGATGTTATTTTTCTGGAATAAGTGGGTGTTGGGGATAGGAAAAGCCATAATTGCTAAAGAAGTTAGGGTAAAAATCTAGACAAGAATTAAAATTTGTAAATTAAAATAGTGTGCCTGTTTAATGGCCATAAAAACCTAAAGTGGAAAAAAAAGATCCTATATTGTAATGGATTGAGAGTTGACATTGGTGTCTCTTCCCTAGTACATTGTCATCAGGCAACCAATCTTTCCTAAATGCTCTTCTTGTGCTCCAGTCAATTTAGAAAACAATAGGTGGATATGGAGGATGCAGTGTTAGCCCCTAGATGCATAGCACATAAGTTGTAGGCACATAAGACCCCTATACTAGCTAAACACTTCTAACTTACTGCAAGATATGCACTTCAACTGTGGAGGGGAGGGGGACTAAAGAGTGGAGGGGTGATAGGCTAAAGAGTGCACAGAGGGTGATGGAGGCTAAATAAAAGCATGGGGGGGTGCAGGGGGGCTAAAGAGTGTACGGAAAGTCAGGGAAGCTAAATAAATGGGATGGGGCTAAAGAGTGCACAGGAGGGGTGGGAGGAATTAACTAAGGCTGTTGCAGCCTCTTGAGTTGTTTTAGCCTCTTTTTGAGTAATACTGGATATTTTGTCATCTTTGGAAGAAGCAGAATATAAGGTTGTAGATATAATTGTACATACCTATGGCTTTGTCCAGGATAACACTTTCTCCCTAGAGTTGTTTTTGGGGTTTTTCATCATTTGGGTATTTCCTATTTAAGAACGAATATGTGATTAGTGTAGTGAAGTCACATAATTCACTCGCTTGATATTATTTTTCTGGAAAAAATGGGTTTTGGGGACAGGAACAGCCATCATTGCTAAAGAAGTTAGGGTAAACATATAGATAAGACACAAATTTAAATTTGAAAAATTAAAATACCGTGCCAGTTTAATGGCCATAAAAACCTGCAGTGGCAGAAAGTATCTTATATTGAAATAGATTGAGAGGTGGCATGGGTGTCTCTTCCCTAGTATATTGCCATCAGGCAACCATTCTTTCCTAAATGCTTTTAGTGTGCTCCAGTCAATTTAGAAAACAATGGGTAGAAACAGAGGATGCAGTGGTGGCCCCTCTATGCATAGCACATACGTTTTGGGCAGATAAGACCCCTATACTAGCTAAATACTTGTAACTTCAAGTGTGGCATCAACTTGTGAGAAATATTCCTTGCCTGTCGGACATCTCAAGGACAGCCCCTATCCAAACTTTACATGATTGGATTCCTGACTTACATTTATCGATAGGGACTTTAAATGGCATTAATTCTGAGGTTGTTATTTCAGGGACAAGCCTTACATTGCTTTACAGATTTAAGGGCTAATTATGACCGGACTAAACAGGAGTTTTATACATTTCTGCAAATCACACATTTATTTACAAATCCACTATTAAAGTACAAGTTGACATTAACCACAATAACGTCTGTAGAACTGATAGTTGCTCATCTCCAGATACAGTTGTAATGAAAATTATTCACCACTTATTGAAAATCAGGTTATTGTCAAAATGGACAGACTTTCAGCTGTTTGCAATGAACAGATTCTGCAGCAAGACTTGGTGGCAACAGGCACTGAGGTTTCAGTAAACCCAGTAAGGCGAGTACTAAATGCAGGTTTCCATGCCAGAACTCAAAGACATACACCACTACTGACCCAAAAGCACAAGAAAAGTCATCTCCAATATACTCAAAATCATATAGATAAGCTTTGGGGTTCAGTTCTGTGGAGCGATGAAACAAAACTGGAACTTTTCAGCCCAATGGATCAGCAGTATGTCTGGAGGAATAAAAATGAAGCTTATGCTGAAAAGAACACCTTGCCTACATTAAAGCATGTGGCTCCAGTAAGCATTTTTCCTTTTTTAGTTTAATTTTCCTCCACAGTCTTAACTAGGGCTGTTGCAGGCTCTTGAGTTGTTTTGGCCTCTGTTGGAGTAACATTGAGTATTTTGTCATCTTTGGAAGTATCAGAATAATGAGGTTGTAGATCTATTTGTACATACCCATCACTCTGTCCAGGATACCACTTTCCACCTAGATGTGGTCTTTGGGGTTTTTCATCATTTTGATGATTCCTAATTAAGAAAGAAAATGTGATTAGTAAAGTAATAATTTACTTACCTGATGTTATTTTTCTGGAATAAGTGGGTGTTGGGGATAGGAAAAGCCATAATTGCTAAAGAAGTTAGGGTAAAAATCTAGACAAGAATTAAAATTTGTAAATTAAAATAGTGTGCCTGTTTAATGGCCATAAAAACCTAGAGTGGAAAAAAAAGATCCTATATTGTAATAGATTGAGAGGAGGCATGGGTGTCTCTCCCTTAGTACATTGCCATCAGGCAACCATTCTTTCCTAAATGCTCTTATTGTGCTTCAGTCAATTTAGAAAACAATAGGTGGATATGGAGGATGCAGTGGTAGCCCCTCGATGCATAGCACATATGCTGTGGGCAGATAAGTCCCCTTTATTAGCTAAACACCTGTAGCATATTATATCAACTGGCAAGAAATATTCCTTGTCTGTCAGGCATTTTAAGGACAGCCCCTATCCAAAAACGGCACGGATGGGATGTGGAGCAAAAGAGGGCACAGAAGGGGGGGAGGGAGGTCCAAAGAAGAACACAAGAGAGGAAGCGGGGGGAAGAGCAGCACAAGAGCGGAGGGTGTCAAAAGAAGGGCACAGGAGGGGGGGCAACAAAAGAGGGGCACAGGTGGAGGAAGCACAGAAACCCAGAGGGGCTGGGAGGGGCACCAAGACATAAAACAGGACTGGGGGGAACAAAGACACACAGAGGGGCTGAGGGGGGGACAAAGAGACACACAGAGGTACTTGGGGGCACAAAGAGATGCACTGAAGGCTGAGAGGACAAAGAGGCACATAGAGGCACTGGGGGTGGGCAATGAGACACACAGAGGGGCTGAGGAAGGGAAAAACAGACATACAAAGGGGTTGGAGGAGAAACAGATGCCTGCTGGGAGAAGAAAGAGACCTGTCAGCCAACCGGCCACAGCAGCTAGCCAGCCGGTTTACAGCATCCAGCCTGCCAGCAGCCAACCAGCTGCTGCAGCAGCCAGCCAGCAGCAATTAAGGTGAGAAGAGCCAACTTGGGCTGGGTGTCATAGAGCTATGTTAAATTACTATATTGTGAATGGGGGCTAGAGTGTTAGAGAGACAGAGGTAGTAGTCTCTAATTAGGCCTGGAGGGAACTCTTGAATATTCTTGAAAACAAAAAAGTTTGTGGGAGTTTTTTTTACATTTTAAAGTTTAACTCCCTCCTAATCTTCCTCTTATGATCAACACAGTCAGATATTAAGCCCAAATGGGTCCAGATAAAAGGTACAATGGGGATAGAAAAGAGTTCTTGAGTTTATTTATTCTCAGAATATATTTCAGAGAACATAGAGTAGGAGACATGATTGTGACACTACAGCAGGCATTTAAGAATGTAGGTGGTTTAATGTACATTTTACTTATTGTTTTTGATTTGCTTTCTGTTATATTTGAAACAAAAGACTGTTTCACATACACCTACACAGGGGAAAATGCATTATTTTTTAACTTGTGTCATGTAACAGTTACCTGAGCTTCCAAATACTTGTTGAATCTATGCTATCAAGCAAGCTCTTGCTCCATTGCTTAGCCCTTATGTGGCTCCAGGAAGCATTTTGTTCCCTTTTTGTTTCTTTTTCCTCCGTGGCCTTAACTGCGGCAGTTGCAGCCTCTCGAGTTTTTTTGGCCTCTTTTCGAGTAACATTAAGTAATTTGTCATCTTTGGAAGTAGCAAGTTTTTGTAGATTGCTCTCTCCAGGATAGCATTTCCCCCCTAGAAGTGTTCTTTGGGGTTTTTCATCATTTTGATGATTCCTAATTAAAAAAGAAAATGTGATTAGTGAGGTCATAATTCACTCGCCTGATGTTATTTTTCTAGACTAAATGGGTGTTGTGGATAGCAAAAGCCATCATTGCTCAATAGGTTCGGGTAAACATCTAGATAAGACAAAAAAATTAAATTAGAAAGGTAAATTACTGCGCTAGTTTAATGGCCATAAAAACCAAGAGTGGCAAAAGGGATCTTGTATTGTAATTGGTTGAGAGGTGGCATGGGTGTCCTTCACCTAGTACATTGCCATCAGGCAACAATTCTTTTACAAATGTTTTTGTTGTGCTTCAGTCAATTTAGAAAACAATGGGTGGATACGGAGGATGCTGTGGTAGCCTCTGGACACATAGCACATAAGTTCGTGGCTAGATAAATCCCCTATATTAGCTAAACAATTGTAATGTACTACAAGATACGCACTTCAAGTGTGGCATCAACTGGTGAGAAATATTCCTTGCCTGTCGGACATCTCAAGGGCAGACCCTATCCAAACTTTACATGGTTGGATTTCTGACTTACATTTATTGATAGGGACTGAAAATGGCATTATTTCTATAAGGGACAACACTTGCCATCCTATATAAATTTAAGTGCTAATTATGACCGGACTAAACAGGAATTTTATACATTTCTGCAAATCACAAATTTATTTACAAATCCGCTATTAAAGTACAAGTTGACATTAACCACAATAACTTCTGTAGAACTGATAGTTGCTTATTCCTCCGATACAGTTGTAATGAATAGTATTCAACCCTTATTGAAAATCAGGTTATTGTCAAAGTGTACGGACTTTCAGCTGTTTGCAATGAACAGATTCTGCAGCAAGACTTGGTGGCAACAGGCACTGAGGTTTCAGTAAGCCCAGTAAGACGCTTACTAAACGCAGTAGGTTTCCATGCCAAAACTCCAAGACATACACCACTACTGACCCAAAAGAACAAGAAAAGTCGTAGCTAAACAATTGTAATGTACTACAAGACAGCGCACTTCAAATGTGGCATCAACTGGTGAGAAATATTCCTTGCCTGTCGGACATCGCAAGGGTAGACCCTATCCAAACTTTACAGGATTGGATTCCTGACTTACATTTATCGATAAGTACTGTAAAAGGAATTACTTCTGTGAGGTTGTTATTTTAGAGACAAGCCCTACCTTCCCTTACCGATTTAAGTGCTAATTAGAATTTTATAAGTTTCTACAGATCACACATTTATTTACAGATCGACTAATATAGGACAACTTAAAAAATATATATATATATATTTAACCCCTTAAGAACTGAGCAAAACGTGCAGGTTTTGATCAAAATAAAACGTAAACAAAACTTGAAATTTGACTATATGTCTGTTCAACCGTAATTCACCTCTTTTATATTAAGGTCACCCACACCTATTAAATATAATTTTATTCAGGAGAAACAGGGCTTTTCTTTAACATCAAATATTTAGCTATGCAACATAATTTAATATGAATAAAATATAAAAGTACATTTGAGAAATTAAGAAATTTTGTTATTTTTTTAGTTCTGCATGACATTTTAACTTTGAATATCATAATATTGCAATAAAATACACATATTTGTATTCAGCGATGTCTCACGTGTAAAACAGTACCCCCTATGTACTGGTTTTATGGTGTTTTGGGAAGTTACAGGGTCAAATATAGCATGTTAAATTTTTCAGTTTTTTTCACATTGAAATTCACCAGATTGGTTACCTTGCCTTTGAGACCATATGGTAGCCCAGGAATGAGAATTACCCCCATGATGGCATACCATTTGCAATAGTAGACATCCCAAGGTATTGCAACCTAGTCTTTTTTAGTAGCCACTTAGTCACAAACACTGGCCAAAGTTAGCGTTAATATTTGTTTGTGTGTGAAAAATGCAAAAAACTAATTTGAACGCCAATTTTGGCCAGTGCTTTTGACTAAGTGGCTACTAAAATAGACTGGACATACCCCATTTGCAATACCTTGGGTTGTCTACTTTTGCAAATGGTATGCCATTATGGGGGTAATTCTCATTCCTGGGATACCATATAGTCTCAAAGGCAACGTAACCAATCTGGAAAATTTCAAAGTCAAATTCAATGTGAAAAAACTGAAACACAAGCCTTATATTTGACTCTGTAACTTTTGAAAACACCATAAAACATGTATATAAGGGGTACTGTTTTACTCAGGAGTAGAGTTGAGTGAACCCGAACTGAAAAGTTTGGGTTCGTTCCGAACATTACGTTTTTTGGACCCCGGACCCGAACACGGACATATCACTGTATGCTCGGTTGGAGTTCGGTGTTCAGCGATTTAATGACGCATTTTGAAAGCGTTTGACTCGTGTGCCCTTAGAAGCAGTCACCGCCATGCCTACTAATGGCATGGCTGTGATTGGCCAGTGCAGCATTTGACCCAGCTAGTAGTGGTATGTCTATTAAAAAGTGACTGTTAAAATAAAAAAAAATTCCCCCCTCCTGAGCCCCCACCCGCGAAGCAAGAGTGGGGGCTTTTAAACTAAAGGGGGGACTTATTGACCCCCCCAGGCCCCCACCCCTAAGCAGTGGGTGGGGGGCCTAAATAACAATAAGGGGGGGAACCTACTGTCCTCCCCCCGGACCCCACCCCTGTGTGGCAGGTGGGGACCCTAAATAACATTAAGGGGGGGACCTACTGTCCTCCCCCCAGGCCCTACCCCTGACCAGTAGGTGGGGGCCATAAATAAGAATTTGGGGGGCGCACCTACTGTCCTCCCCCTGGCCCCCGCCCCTGTGCAACAGTTGGGGGCCCTAAATAACAATAAGGGAGGAGACCTACTGTCCTCCTCCCTGGCCCCCACCCCTGAGTGGTGGGTGGGGGCCATAAATAAAAAGTGGGGGGGGAAACCTAATGTCCTCCCCCCTGGCCCCCACCCCTGAGCGGTGGATGGGGGGCCATAAATAAAAATTGGAGGAATGGAACCTAATGTCCTCCCCCCTGGCCCCCACCCCTGAGTGGGGGGTGGGGGCCCTAAATAAAAATCCCCCCCAGGTGACTAGGGGTCCCTAAAACCCTAGTCACCCCGCTCCCCCCAAAAAAAATTACTCCTACCTACCCTCCTCATTGTAAAAATAATGAGGGGGACCCTTGTCAAAATACGTGTTAAAAAAGTTCTTTCTTTTAAAATATTCTTTTTTCAGCCCCAAAAAAGGCCAAATAAAAATCCATAATAACCAACGCACTTAAAAAAAAAAAAGGAGTGCAAAAAAAATAAATCAATTTTCACCCATGGAGGGTTCCACGCAGACTGAGCTTTACAGGGCGGGGGAAGGCTCTACATTTACTTGTCACAGCACTCTGATTGGTTGGCTTGAAATCCACCAATCAGAGTGCTCTGTGTCATTTTACACAGCGTGGGAAAGTTCTTTGGAATTTTCCCACGCTGTGTACTTTGACTCATAACACTTTGATTGGTTACTTAATCCACCAATCAGAGTGCTCTGTGTTATTTTACACAGCGTGGTGTAATTCCAAAGAACTTTCCCACGCTGTGTAAAATGACACAGAGCACTCTGATTGGCTGGATTTCAAGCTAACCAATCAGAGTGCTCTGTGTCATTTTACACAGCATGGGAAAGTTCTTTGGAATTTATTGTTATTTAGGGCCCCCACCGGCCGCGCAGGGGTGGGGGCAGGGGGGGAGAACAGTAGGTTCCTCCCCCTAATTCTTATTTATGGCCCCCACCCACCACTCAGGGGTGGGGGGAGGACAGTAGGTCCCCCCCTTATTGTTATTTAGGGCCCCCATCCGCCGCTCAGGGGTGGGAGCTGGGGGGGAGGACAGTAGGTCTCCCCCTCCACATTCTTATTTAGGGCCCCCACCCGTCGCACATGGGTGGGGGCAATAGGTTTTTTTGTTATATTTTATTTTTATTTATATATATATATATACACACGTGTATATATATATATACATATATATATATAGTGATATATACATATATATTTATGTATATAGATTATTTTGTTCTAAGTGTATTTTGATATCAATACAAATATCAATATCACTGTGCTTAATTTTTGAAACTTATTTTGATCTTGCTGTTTTACATATCGCACTGTGTGCCCAATAAATAGTGTTTTTTCCACTTATGCAAGTTTGGAAGTCACGTTCTCGGGAGTAAGCAGCAATCCGGAGGGTATATATTGAAGAGCCTTGAAAGTCTGAGCCTGCCAGGAATAGGCTCAGCAATATATATCTGACAGCTACCATTTACCATTCAAGATTTTAAAGTGGTAGTATTTTACCATTCTGTGTGTTTGCTCTCACCTATTCACTTTATTGCTTTACAGTTAGATCTTAAGCCCAAATGGATATCGATAAAAGGTACAATGGGGATACAAAGAGTTCTTGAGTTTGCATATTCCCAGAATATATTTCAGAGAACATAGAAGCAAGTAGGAGACATGATTTTTACACTATAGCAGGCGTTTATGAATTTAGATGGTTTAATTTGCCGTTTTCTCATTATTTCTGATTTGCTTTCCATTATATTTGAAAGAAAGCACTGTTACATGTACACCTCAGTGGAAAATACATTATTGTATTTTTTGAACTTTTGCTAAAACATTATGGTACCAGTCTTGCTATGTACTGACATATTTATATGTGAAGAAAACTTTCAATAAAGAAATTGTTACAAAACAAAATAATGTCAGTAGTTGTGTTCTTTTCTTCCTTTCCATCTATCAATCCATCCTCTCTCTTTCTCTCTCTTCCTCACATCATACATCTTATCCTTACTCTCCATCGGATGCCCTGTCCTTCACTATCTGTCAATCATACTCCATTTCTAATAACATTATGGTAGCACCTGTCTTTTCAGAGATCACATATTGGTTGTGTTGTTTTTACTGAATGATTTCTTTTACAATAAGTTTCTGTTTACACTAAAATACATTCCGTAATTAAATCAGGCAATGTCTGGAAAGTCATATTGCAGTAGTAGTCTCAAACAATTTGTGACTTTGATTTAGAGAAACCAGTTAAGTTATTCACTGCAATACTTCTCTCATTGGCTTCCTGCTTACACAGACAGCGAGTGTTAGAAGTAGGGTTCTGGTTCACTGAGGACACTGTGGGTTGGTATAGATAACCTTATAGCGTTATAGTCAGTCATTCTGTGTGTCATGCTACATTTACCTGAGCTTCCAAACACTTGTCTGATCTATGTCATCAAGCAGACTCTTGGTCCATGGTTTAGCCTTCATGTGGCTGCAGTAAGCCGTTTTTTCATGGCTCTGTCCAGGACACCATTTGCCCCCTAGAGGTATGCTTTGGGGTTTATGTTCTTTTCGATGTATCCTAATTAAGGAATAAAATGTGATTAATAAAGTCACATAGGTATTCTGATCATTATAATTTTAATTACTATAGTAATCATTCATTGATTTCATAATGAGCCTAGTGAAAAAAATCATAAAACTAATGATCAATAAAGTCACAACTTTCATTTTAAACCCTGTTACATGTAAACCCCCACCGCCACATAACTCTATAGTGATACCAGCTGCAACTATCCACTAACCTGTTCATCGAAGGCTGTGTTATACATTCTTTATCAGTAATGACCCTCCTGGATGGTGGTTGTATATCCCACAGCCGTGGGACCAGGGGGCTTTGAAATATAGATATATAATTTCCCATACTCTTGGTATTTTCAAAAGTATCTCACTGCATTAGAAATGCTCATGAAATGCTGGTAAAACCAGCAGGATCTGGGTTCTCTGAACAGCTGGTCAGTGACATCACAATAAAATCTGATGTTCTGAATTCTTAAAAAGAATGTCTGAACACAATGTGTCTGTGGAAATGATAAAATTACTTTTTTTCTCTGTATGTATGGAACACTACAGGGGAATTTAAATTTAAATTATTGTCACAAAATCAACTCACTTTCACAAGCTTTTTATTTTATTGGCTTTTTGTTGTAACTCCTGTGTCATTACAGTACAGAGTTTAGATATAACAATGAGTTACAATACAGAAAAAAGGAACTATTAACATATAGCATAGCAACATCGCGCAGTTACACACATGAATCACATCATCTATAACATTGTTATTTGGCCTACATTAGTAATATTTGCACATCTATTATATCCCGCAACCATCCCGCTCCTCCGAACCCCATGTGTAAGCTATGTGAAGTCACAAGGTTCGTGCCGTGTTTGGTCTAAGGGTCGCCCTGCCCTTGAACCCATAAGTAAGTCGCATTTGAACCGTTGGGGAGAGGGCGCTGTCACCCGTTCCCCCCCGTATTCCCTGTTCTATCGTTCTACCCCCTCTCCGATCTAATCTGCGGAGTCCCCGTTGGGTCGATGTGGTATTGTGTTAGCCTAGTCTTATGTGTCCCTCCCCCATGAAGTGTTTGCATGGTTGCCAAATGTCATGATATCTATGGTACTTATCTAGGGATCCCCATCTCAGTTCCTCCATCTCATGGAAATGTTCTATTTTGACATACCAGTCTTGTTTGGTAGGCGGGGTCGCTGATTTCCACTTGTTTACTATTGTGCTTTTGGCTGCTGTCAACATGAAGTAGATGAGGGAGTATTTAATTTGACGAGGTGGGATTTCAAAGTGGAATAGGAGAAGTGCTTCTGGGCTGAAGGGTATGGACATATCTGTTACCAGATTAACCATTTTCCAGACTTCTTTCCAAAAGTCTGATACTACACTGCACGACCACCATATATGTTGGAATGTGCCCTTATTAGAATGACACCTCCAACATAAGGAAGAAGATTCGGGATTTAAACTTGTGTATATCCGCTGGGGTGGTATACCACTTTCACAAGCTTTATGTTTGATTCAATACACCATATTCCAAGCCATCACTGTAGACTTTATTCCAGATTTAGAGACCTACAGGAACTCCTGCCAAGTGTCCCTATTTAGGAGGGACAGTCCCTATTTTGAGTCCAAATCCCTCTGTCCCTCTTTTCTATCCTACTGTCCCTCCTTTCCAGGAGCTCCATATTGTTGCTGTGTCAATGGTTATGTAAAAGAGCTCCACAGCATTAATACTCCCAGTAATGTGACTTCAAACTTTAATAAATGTGTTTAGAACAGTCTGTGTAAATAAGATACATTGTTCTTGTAAAAACTATATATTTTCAGTAAATCAGAAGAACAATCATACAAAGTATTAGATTGAAACAACAGTGATAAATTGAGGTTCACAAGACATAATGAGTACAGGGCTTACAAAGTGAAAATCCAAAGACTTAGTCATCATATGGGGTACATATAGATATGATAACATACAGTAATGTGGCACATGCAGAAAGCATAATCCAAATAAAATAAAATAATGGCCAACAAATTCTTATTAAAAGCACCTATTGGGAGTTTGCAGTAGGCATGTGCATGGGGAAAATTTTTGTTAAGGCATTCCCGAAATTCGGGAATTCTGAACTTCGGCACTTCAGTTCGGTTCGGCACTTCGACACTTCGGGACTTCTCTTGCAGCCGCTTAGTAGATAACTCCCTAATTCCCACGGTATTAGGGAGTTATCTAGCAAAAGGCTGAAATACCTAAATTGGTCTTTCAACCAAATTTACTAATACTAAGTAAAATTAATAAGTATTAGTAAATTTTGCCCCTACTCGCAATAACGCGAGTAGGGGCATGTCTATTAAACAGTGAGCAGTGAGTCCCCCCTCCCGAGCCCCCACCCGTTCTGCGCGAGTGGGGGCTTTTAAACAAAAGGGGAGACCTATTGCCCACCCCTGAGCGGTGGATGGGGGACCTAAAGTAAAATAATGGGGGGACCTATTGTCCCCCCTGGCCCCACCCCCAAGCAGCGGGTGGGGGCCCCAAAGTAAAATAATGGGGGGGGACCTATTGTCCCCCCCCGGCACCCGCCCCTGAGCGGCGGGTGGGGGCCCTAAATACCAATAAGAGGGGAGACCTATTGTCCTCCCCCCTGGCCCCCACCCCTAAATACCAACTAAGGAGAGGACCGCTCAGGGGTGGGGGCCCTGAATTAGAATAAGGGGGGGGACCTATTATTCCAGAAGTTGTGTCCTTAAGGGGTTAAAGTCAGTTCAAACAGACGAATGACAACCATTCGAATTGTCGAATGAACTGTCAAACGGCGTTAGAATTGTCAAATGCATTGAAGTCTGGAGAAGGTAAAACTTCAGCTGAATTAAACATGGCCACCGTCACGTGTTCGTCTGTACGAACAGCGGTCACCCAGCGGTCGGCAATTTACCTACAGCAGGCTCCCAGCCTGGGAGGTAAATTGCCTGCATGCTTCCACTTCTCCACCTATACAGTACTTGGTTCAGTAAGCCCCATTTACTGAACCAAGTGGGAGAAAGCCATGCACAAAGGATTTTAAAGGTTTGGAGACATAGTCTTAAAGGGGCATTGTCACAAGTCTCAATATGTCCCCAGATGGTTCTTAAAGGGCCAGCATGGTCCGTTACAAGTCCATAAGCCCCAAGACTGTTGTTAAAGGGCACAATCTCCGAGGGGCCATAGTCAGAAGGTAGGAGGCAGACAAACAGGCCTCTCCAACAACCAGTGGCGAGGTCACTTTCACCACAGGTAGCTTCCCTCAACCAGCAGGAGTGCCCGTTGTAACAGCTGAGGAAGGAAATTCATACCAGCAAATTCGCCCGCAAACACAACGTTACCTGGATGTAGTGATAGGGCTCCCTCAACCCAAACACCAACAACGACAATCTGCGACAGAACCCCCTTTCCATAGGCAGTACCGGACACGTGAAGTCCAGGTGACCCAGCAGCCCCTGCATTTGCATCTGTCGCAGTTGGACCTTCTTAGACCCCTTGACCAAATCAACCAGGCGCAACAAAACCACCAATTTTTCATCTGGATATGAAAAACCATCCGAACAGAGTCGATTTTAATACCTAAGAACGACAAGACCAACACCAGACCGGAAACCCAAAATCGGACGCCACATGCCGGAAAGCCTGCAACAAAGAAAAAAAAAATCCTGTGAACCAGCAGGGCTGATGAACAGGAAATCGTCCAAGTAATGAGTCAAGGACCCCAAACCCGACTCACACTCCATTACCCACTCCAAAAACAAAGCAAACAGTTCAAAATAATAACAGGAAATGACGCAGCCCATCGGCATGCACATGTCATAGTAGTAAAACCATTTAACAAAACACCCCAACAAATGAAAACAAGCCAGGTGTACAGGCAACAGTCCAAAAGCGGACTCTATATCATATTATGCCAACAACGCCCCTCCACCCGCCCGCCGGACCAGCTACAACGTCAAGTCAAAGGACGCGAAACGCACCCTACACACTTCCTTGTCAATGTCGTCAATGACCGACCAACCACTGGGTATGACAGTTGCTGAATCAACCTTGAAGCCCCCGGATACTTTTTGGGAACCAAACCTGGGGTGGGGGAGACCCTTAAATTATGAAAAGTGGGGGAATCACAGGGGCCTGCGATCCGCCCCCGCCGAACCTCGGCATCCAGTTTGTCCTGCAACAAATCCTCCCTACCCCAAAACAAACGCAGATTTGCAGCAAACTTTCTGATCAACGCCCTTTGCGGCGTAGGGCCTGCCCTTCCTGAAACAGCGCAGAGCCGGATGGGTTCCTCCACAGTGGACACACTCATGCCGAAATCTGCAGGAGCTGAACCACTTCCAATGGCTCATTGAAGAGCCAACAGACTCCTTTTCTATGTCCCACCGACGTTCCGGCTGGCACGCCGGCAGGCCCTGGAAAATAAGATGGGCGACACAGGGTCATGAGTAGCAGCCAGAGGCTGCAGTCCTGCACCCCAAAATTGTTGGTCATATTTAAACCAGAATTGTCCTCCATATACCTTGTACGATCCCCAAGGGGGGGGGGCCGCTCTGGGAAACGACGCACCAGGATACTTGCAAAGATGTTAAATCCCTGCAACCAATTACCGAAAGTGCTCTACCTTTCTCACCTTCTAGCTTTTCGCCCCGCCGTGGTCTGTCCACCGACTCCTTGTCTGGAGGAACAAGAGAAAGCATATCCACAAACTCACCTTGCAGAATCCTGATCTGGACCACCGGCGGCACGTGCAAGCCTAATGGGGATAACTCACACCCAGGGAGACATGGACAATAAGCCCCATCCCAGGGACCCCTACTCCCTTGCCGACTGGAAGTAGCCTGCCCTAGAACCCCTGACCTACTACCCTTAGTCTGACTACCACCTACGAATATCCTATGCAGGCACAATACTTCACTGTCCTGCCCAGGCCCCCAGCAGTACCCCAAACGCTAGCGCAGGCCAACTCACCAAAGAGTGGCAGGTTCACTGGTCCCAGCTCCTCCAGTCCGGCTCTCTCCTCCTCATCCGACTCCACCTGGAGCCTCCCAGCAAGCTGTACAGCAAGTCAGGACCCCTGCACTTTTCCAAGCTGACTGGTAAGTCCCCACCCAGCTGTCCCCTATATATATTCAGTCCCCATATTGTCATATTATATCCATGTTGTCCTATCCCCTTATCTCTGCATCAGTCATGTCTCCCCCTTTCTTATCAGTCCAGGGAGGGTCTATCTCCAGTATGCAAACACACACTGCAGTCACTATACACACACACTACATCCACTACACACACACTGAATTCACTATACACACACTATCTCCACTACACAAATGCACACTCTGCATTCATTCTATACACACTACATGCCTACACAAACACACTGCATCCCTACACAAAAACACTCTGCATTCACTACACAAACGCTACATCCCTACACAAACACACTCTCTGAATTCACTATACACAAACACACTGCATACCTGTGGGCAGGGGCGTAACTAGAGCATTTGGCACCCGGGGCGGATCCTGTGTTTGCCCCCCCTCCTTCCCCCCCCTTTTCAATTCAAATGTATAAAAAACACCCACTGTTTTCTTAAAATTCTAATTACTGTCATTTTTTTTTAATTGTCATCCAGTCCCTCCTTCTACAAAACACCTGCCCAGTCCCCCTTCTACAAAATCCCTTTCCCCTCTACAAAAAACCTGCACCCCCCTCTACAAAAACCCCTGCCCAGTTCACCTCCTACAAACCCCCCGTTCTGTAAAACCCGTGCCCCCTCTCAAAAAAAACAGCACCCGCTCTTCTACAAAAAACCCTGCCCAGTCCCCCTTCTACAAAACCCCTGCACTCCCTTTGTTAAGACACTCCTGGCATAAAGGAGTGAAATCGTCATTTAGTAGATCTTCCCCTTTTAGAGACACAGGCACAGTTACTGTAGACCGCCAAACTCCCGAACTGAATACAAGGGAATGCTCCAAACTTCCGAACAGAGAATCATACGAACTCCTTCTCTCCTGGAACAGGCAAAAGAATACTCCAAAGTAGCAATCCCCCCCAAACACGAGACCAAGCTCCGTCTTGAAGGTAAAAAAGGAATCTGATTTATTGAGGGCTACATGTATTTATGCAGGTCTCCCACCTGGTGGACACTCCCCTAGGGGACCAGATGGAAGACTGGGACATTAGCCAATCACAGTGGCTCAGGCATAAACCCTCCCCTTGGTACAAGCAAATCCCTCCTCTCTATCCTGGAGATAATTGGGAAGAAATCCAATTATCTCCATGGATAGAGGCAAAACGCCATTTTAAATGATA